AGGCAGCCCCAGCTCAGGGCCTGGAACTCAGCAGACAACTGACAAATCCACCTTCAAGCAAAGGGGTAGAAGCAGTATGGGGACAGCTGGACAGGCCTGCATGCCAAACTGGGAAGATAAAGTTGACAACAAGGCAACAGCATGCATTGTTTGTCAAGAGCGCTGTGGTCTGAGAAATATAGTAAGTGATTTCATCGTTGTATGAGCATCATGCAGAATATTTAATCAACAGAACTGGGAAAGGCATAACAGGGCTTCTAAACATTTCCCTCTTGTGACACCTTTTCACCCAAAAAAAGTTTAATGCAATCTCAGGTATATAAAATAATGCAAATCAAGCATTTACTGATAATAAACCATAAAGAAATTAACCTGAAAACAATTCATTGTTATATGAATAATTTTGCCATTTATTGAAGACGAAGGCAAAGCTACATACTAATCACATGCCTGTTATTTTTTTACAAAAAATTAAACTGTGTCTGAGCATTTGATACTGCAGAACATATGCCATCTTCAGTGTTTCTTCAGAGTTGACCACTGTTTGGATTTTATAATCATCAGTGCCAAGATCACAGCTTTATTTAAACAAGAAGGACCAAACAGCAGAAAAACATTTAGGGTTAGTTCAGAAATTGTTGGAAGATTCATCCTAATCCCAAACTGAAATTCACTGAATCATTTTTTAAATGAAATTCCTGTCAGCAACTCAAGCAGCAATTTTTCAAATCAAATATTCTGACACCACAATACAGTAGAAAGGTAAACTAATTTGATGCTTATATCCTGGGGGGAAATATTTAAAAGTCTTTATTTTCCATAAATAAACTGTTATGTTTCTATATGTGCTGAAATTTTTGTACATACAGTGAAACACTGTAATTTATACCTTACAATATAGTCTTGGGTCTGAGCCAAGGTCTCTAGAGCAGCACTGGATAGTGTCTCTTGATGTGATGGCACACACGGTGCTAAGTGTGCATGTTGTATATTCAGAACCATGCCTTCAGTGGAGTCCCATAATGCATTAAGGGTGAGCAGAGCCAGAAATACCTCAGACTAATTACATGTTTGATTTTGAGCTAATTTTGGGTCACTGCACATTTAGAAATATCTTATTGTTGCCAAGTTTCTTACAACTCACACATTTGTGGGCTCACCACCCACTTAAGACACTTTGGTGTAGCCTACTACCTATTTCAGCTAGATGATATCAATAAATAGATATGTAAATACATTATTGGTACTTAGAGAGATAGAGATACGGGTACATACATATAGTAGCCTATTGTCTCTAGGGTCATGATGAACAAATAAACACTGGACTGAATCAAACACAAGAAAAAACACAGTAGTGGAGCAAGAATGTTTTTGCTTTTTATATATGACAGCATTATGGCATTTTCAAACAAAGTCAAATTTCTTTTAGAGCAAACTTTTTTATATAAATAAGAGTACACCCTAACAAGAAAAATATAGTGTAGGGAAGAAAGAGGGTAAGTATAGTGTAAATACATGAATGAGTAAAATAATCGCTTACTATCATCAAGTCTATACTTTGCATAAATATATTGCTATGGTTACCGGCAGATAATAGGTTTGCCTACAGCAGCATCAATAGAAATACGTGTGTGCTGTGTTGTGTCACAATTGTTATAATAGTGATCATGTCCCTAGGGCAGTTGAAGTTTTTCTGTTCCATCACAATCTCGTGAGACCTCCCTCGTGCATGTGGTGCATCATTCTGTTGAAACGTTGCTTATTCAATGCACACTGAATTCTGAATGCTCAGTGTCACGTGAATTCTGAAATTTCCAATTCACTGTAATTTAGATAATTAAGGATTTACCCTAAAATGGAAGTAGCCTCTATTTTGCCTGACCTAAGACAAGAGTATAGGTGGGAATAAAAATCTTGGGAGCCCGCTATTCAATATGGTATCGGGATGGAGGGGTGCTTTATGGAGGAAAACCTAAGAGCAGAAAGGCTATGGGGGTTTTTAACATGTCAGTGATGGTCTGGGCTGCAGGAGGCTGGTCCAGGGTGTGAATTTCAGGCTGGCTTTTTGTCTTGAAGGTTCAACTGAAGTCAGGATTTGAGCAGATGGAATAGAACCCCTGCCTAAATGCTGCATTGGTAGCTTTCGTCTTTCTCTCCTGCTTGCCTCATCCATCCCTACACCCCTCCCCTGGTTGATACATTCTAATGTCTCAATTACCTCAACTTCTCCATGAGCCCTCCCTTTCTGTCCAAGAACAGGTCATCAGAAAAGAAAACACAAGCGAGTCTACCCAGGCCAAGGGGTAGAATTCAAGCAGGGAGAGAGAAAAGAACACTTCAGTCCTCCCTCTAAGCTCCAGGCAAGGAGCAGCTTTGCAGGCCACAGAAGCTGGGTCTTGGCACTAAGAACCATGAGAACAGGACCAAGTGCCTGGCAGCATCAGGACCTGAAGTCAAGGTGACCCTATTTCAGGCATTTTCTCTAAGGCAAGACTCTCACTGCAACTCTGGGAACATGCACCGACATCTGGATGCATTCTAGGCCATCAAGATCGGGAAGGAGGTGCTCCTGGCATCTAATAGGATGCTGCAAAATATCCTACGATACATAGTATGGCTTCTGACAACAAGGAAAATTCTGGCCCAAATCTCTAGTCATAAGGATGAAAGGTGAGCTCTGCTCCAAAGACTTGGGTTTCACATAGAGACAGCAGGAACACACACACACACACACACACACACACACACACACACACACACACACACACACAATCTGCCTATACCTCTGGCTGGTGTACTTCAGCTAACCATCCTCCCCATAAATGGCTCTGGAAGAAGGCATTAAACTGTGTCTTTAAGAGAGACACTTTGCAGCATGACAGTGAGGGTGTGGTGTGAAAATGTAACCCTAAGCAAAGGGTTAGACCCCTGTATGTCATACCACTGGCCCCCTTCTGGCAACAAGGGGAGCTGCTAAGAGGGTCTGCTCTCAGATAGCATTCCTGTATTCGTTAATTTTCTCATCTTTGGAACAAAATACCTGCCAGAGGCAGTCTAGACGAAGAGGGATTCATTTTTGGTCCGTTTTGTGGTGAGGAAACCATAGCAGAGTTCTTAGTGGTAGGAGAGGCTTCCGCCCCTGGTGTTGAGAGGATGGCGGCTTGCTCACGTCTCAGTGGCCAGCCAAAATGGAGAGAACTCAGACTGGAAATAGAACTGGCTCCAACCAGTGACCTCCAACTAGGTGCACCTCCTGAAGGGTCCACACCGCCTCACAGCATCAACTGAGGGCCAAATCCCTCAACAATGAGCAGGTGGGGACCATTTCACATCCCAACCACAATGTTGTCTCTGGAAGGACTTAGGCCATGCTAGGAGACAGGGGAGAGTACAGAACTTCAGGTCCTCATGTCTGCCTGAACAACGTCAAAGACACAGAAGGTTTGCATTGTCCAGTCCTTTCTTCCTAGGCAGTGTGTGTGTGAGTGTGTGTGTGAGTGTGTGTGAGTATGTGTGTGCGAGTATGTGTGTGTGAGTATGTGTGTGCGAGTATGTGTGTGTGAGTGTGTGAGTATGTGTGAGTGTGTGTGAGTGTGTGTGTGAGTGTGAGAGTGTGTGTGAGTGTGTGTGTGAGTGAGTGTGTGTGAGTGTGTGTGTGAGTGTGTGTGTGTGTATGTGTGCTGACACACATAAAACTAGGGAACAGGACTCACTTTAGCAGAATGAAACCTGTCCATCAAGACACTCAGCTGTCTAGCAACACCAGTTCAACATTGTGGGACGCCAATGACAGACACCCAGTTGGAAAGGAGACAGCGGTGACCCAGTGGGGCATCGGCTCTCACACACACCAATCTGTGAGCCACAGACATTGGGGAAAGAGCTTCAAACTCTAAGGGTGTGACTAAGTGCTCTCCAACGCTCCATCACTGACATGGCACTCCACCTGTACTTTTCCTCCCTTTAAAATGAAATAAGAATGACAGCTCCTATTTTGCAGGCCACTTACTACGTGCCAGGAACCTTACAGGAACATCATTCTCACAGAAGCACTGGGAGGCTTTTTGTTACCCCCCCCCCATGATACCCTGATGATTCAAAGTCCCGTGGCCAGCAAGTGGTGGCACTAAAGCCAGAACTCAGCTTGTATGATAGGGGCTGTTACAAGGGCAAGGGGAAGAGCTCTCAGGAGCTGCGGACCAAGGTGTGGTCACAGACCAAGGCCTCCATGCAGAGGCCATACAGGCATCACCTGTATAAACACAAATTAGGGGATTGTCTCCCACCTGGTTGAAACACAGTGCCAAAGGTTCCCAGGCAGAAACCCATGTAAACACTCTTCAGACCTCCGCCAAATGCCCTGTCACTGTTGGCTGGGTAGGCCAGGCCTGGCTAAAAATAGAAGGGTTCTCAGGTCCAGTTCCCTAATAGCCACAGGCAGCTCCCAACTCCCTGGTCTCTCTCTCTCTCTCTCTCTCTCTCTCTCTCTCTCTCTCTCTCTCTCTCTCTCTCTCTCTCTCTCTCTCTCTCTCTCCCCTTCTCAGGCAAGAACTAATCTTCCTGAAGAAATGGAAATTTTGAAAACCTCCATCTCAGACAAGATATGATTAGTTTGATGCCCAGTGGACATGACCCGTGAAATGGCCATCAATGGGAGATGGGGGCCTCAGAATAACACCTCAACCTATGAAAAGAGGTATCAACATCCATAACCCGCCAAAGGGAACAGAGGGGTCGAGGCTAAAACCGTGGCCAACATCTACACAGCCTGCAATTCAACCTTCAGCTCCGTGTCTTTTTTTTTTTTTTTTTTTTTTTTTTTTTTTTTTTTCCCAAAACTAAGCCAGCTCTGATCTGAAGTTTCAGGGTTGGCCGGCGACTCCTTAGATGGGGGAGATGAGGCAATACCCAGGCCAGCAGAAGGGAGAACTTTGCTGGAGTCCACGACCTGCACTTCCTTTGCACGGGCCAGGAGGGTCAAAACGCCTGCAAAGTGTGGCCTGGGTGCACTTAAGGGCCCAGCCCGGGGATTTCCTTTCAAAGGTGACTTAGAGGCACTTCAAGAGGGTAGCGCCCTCCCAGGCGGGTCCTAATGGTAAATTTGGCAGAGTCAGCGAAACACGGCGCCGGGCGGACCTGGCGGCCGGGCAGCGCCCTCTCCCGCGCCCGCGCCCTCTCCCGCGCCAGGCAGCGGCGAGCACGGGGCCATTTGCAGCACAGGCAACCTAGCGAGCAGCCGCGGCGCCCAGCCGGGAGGGAGGTGGCACCATGGAGCTGAAGAAGGACAGCAACGCCGTGGCCATCGACATGCTGCTCATCGTGCACTCCGAGAAGCGGCGCGCGGCCCAAGCCACGCACTTGGACTCTCAAACGGACTCGGGCGCGCTGCTGCAAAACCGAGGAGGTAATGCACCTGGCCCAGGATCCCGGGGCATCTCAGCCACCAAGTCCCGGGGTCTGCCCGCCGGGGGGCGCCCCGAACGAGGCCAGCCTAACCCTCTCCCCCACCGCTGCTTGAACCTGGGCGCCGGTGTCCCTTGGCAACGCGCAGCGCTGTGTTTGTCCCAGGTTGACTCCCCAAGCAGGCCTAAGGGTGCTCTGTCATATCGGAAGCCCTTTGCTCCCATTATTCCCTGAAGGATGCAAACCACGTTGGAAAACGCTCCACAGGAAGAAGCTAAGGCCTTAGGCTGATCACAGGTAGCAGAAGCCTAGTAATCACGCAGCACCATAGAGCACCAGGAACCCCAGAGGACCTTTGTATTGAGTCAGACTTTGAGATAACTCAGAGCCTCAGTTTCCCCCTTTCTTAAGTCACTTTTCCAGCCTCCAACAAAGATAAGGCATGGATGGGTAAAGGGAACATGGGCTGGGGGGGAGGGTGGAGTGGGGTTTGAAGTCTCCTGACCGCACTTGAGTTTCGCTTCAATTTTACTTGTTCTGGGAAAATGAAAACTGACTAGTGAATGCTTATAGGGTGAGTGCAGAAAGCAGGATCCGCCCCTATTCACCATCTACACAGCTTGAATAGAGTATACATGGTGACAAATGGAGGTTCAGGGAATCCCTGAGAAGCGTGGGGGCTCGTGGCACTGGTCTTGGAGGTAGTCTCTGAGGCCGTGTTAAGAGTCTCCAAAGCGAACCCTGCACCATTTCTTTAGGAGAAATGCATGACAAAAATGACCGTTGCCCCCCACTCTCTCTTCAGCTCCGGAGGTCCTTGGGACGCCTCCTGCTACAGCGTTTTGTCTTTCCTGCCCCCAAAGCTTCTGTGTACATGGGACACCCACTGTCCACCCGCCTGGTCTGTTAGGGCAGTGGTTCTATAGACAGCGTTGACCCACCAGTGCTACGGGCTGCTGCAGGGATGCGGCTCCTGGAGAGCTGGGAAAGGGGCAGGAAAGACCGGAAGCTGAGAGTGTTCATAGCAATCAGTGTAGTGGGCCTGCGGGGACAGGAGCTGCTTAGCTTAGTCAAGTCTCCTGTTCTTTGTGCTGCTCCTGGGAGAAAGGGGTAAGACCCGCTTTCGGGGAGTAAGAAAATGTCCTCTGCTTCTTGATGGAAATGAGATGGCTGCTGCTGCGTGTAACACAATACAAAACACCGCTCCCCGTGTGTAGGGAGTGAGGCCCAGTTCCAAGTCAGGGTACTCCATCCCCACTGCCCAGTAGAGTCCTCTTGCATCCTAGAGGGTGAAGAGAGAAGCCCCGAAGTGTTGGATATCAAAACTGCCCTCCCGGTACCAGAAGCCTACCCAAAATGCCCATGACTCCAGACCAGTACACATACTTTGGTCCTGACTGGGGGGTAAAGCACCCCTACGTGAAAGTCACCGGTACTGTTCAACATTTTCCCAGTGATGGCTTCTTGAAAATGCTGTGCAGTGGAGAGAACTGAGTCCCCTATTCCACACCAAAATGGAAAAGGGGGACGGTGTATAGTCTCCAAGGTCTGCCACCCACTGACAGCCTAGGTTGTTCTGACCATCGTATATCCACACTTTGGGACAAAGCCTAGGGGGACAAAAGCATTGAATCATACCACTTGTTCTTAGGCCTTGCACAAATGTTCAAGAACCCAAAAAAGTGAAAGGTTAGAGAGCCAGGCTGGAGACTGAGCTTCACGGAACACTGTCATCAAGTGCGTGCCACAGAGTGGGTCTTGTGATGACAGACACCTCTGCAGCCACCAAGCTCCATCAGACACTCTTCCCACACCAGAAATCTGTTTCCCTGCAGTGGCTCCCACTGCCCAGGTACACATCAGTTCTGTGCCGGGCACTCAGCCGCTCAGCAGTCACTTCCAGCCACTGCCACGGGGAGAGCTTCCCTCCCTTCTGCATTGCATCGTCACTAGAACCGAGCACAGGTGCGGTGGATAGGCCATACTCTAGCTGCAAGGGAGGCTGGGAAAGAAGGCAACTGTGCCTCCCATAGGGACAGGCGGTCTTTGTTCCATGCTCTCTCACCCTACTTCAAGACTGTCCACATACAGAATTGGGCAGGCAAAACAGATAGAAAACAATGCTTTTGTGCTTATGTGTTGGAGGTATGGGAATGGGTATTGCACATCTATATGGCAAAAATTCCTCCTGGAAAGCCCTGATAGCCAATCCCACCATCACTAAAACCTACCATTCTAACCTATTAAAAATATTTTTAATTGAAGAATTGCGTTCATTTCCTCAAATGTGTCACGTTCAGGGGCAGCCTATCTCAGACCCTGAGAGAACTGTCTTGTGTAAGTAGGACAGATGGGTCTGTAAGTAGTACAGTGATGCATGGCGCCTGCCCTAGGGCTCCCTCCACAACATGTCTCACACCAATCCTTATTACCTCACAGGGTTCCAAGGTGTCAGAAACGGAATCCGGAAATGGCAAGAACTGGAGAGAAACGGCTTTCAGGGTAAATCTCGTTTGCTTCCTAATTTCTATTCAGTCTCTATAATGCAATTCCCGGAAAAATAACCTGAAGGGCTGGGCTGTGTTCATTTGGGAAACCAGCCCTAACATCTAACCAGTGAGCAAACATGGCTGCTTGCAGCTCAGCCAGGCCTTTAGGCTACTGTGAGCCTGGAAAGCTCTCCCTGGCATCAGGAGTCCTGCTTTTCTGGAGGCTGCAGCTGGGGAACAACGTGGTGAACTTCGGCACCCATTTGTTTGCTGGCTGGGCTATCATAGAGGATTTGGCTGGGCTTGAGGTAGTGAGGGTTATGTGTGTTCCCACCAGAGGCAAGGTTTCTCATGTCACAAAGATCACCCAGCTTTAAAATGTTTTTGTGTTTATTTGCTTGTTTTTGTTTTTGTTTTTTTCTGAACAGACTAGAATAGTTGCCTTCCTTAAAACAGTATTACTTGAGGCCTGGGCAGAGCCAGGATGCTGTAGACCCCTACTGCCCTGAGCTCCAAAATATGATAAGAAGTTGGCTTCCAAGGCCTCTTCTCTCTGGGTCAAAGCAGCGCCCTATCCTGGTGGCACAGAACCTCTCTGGAACATGAAGGATGGGCCAATTACAGTGGGCCTTATTTTGTGTTCCTCTGACATTGATTACCCTGGGCTTTCAGGGGGTGGGGCATCAATGGTAATGTGCATGATGGGAACACAGAACTCTGATAGGAACCAGACCTCCACTCCCAGAACCCAGCCATCAAATACCCCACCCTCCACAAATGGGGAAACAAGAATACAACTGAATAAGAGCGAATAACTCTGCTTTGCCAGGCTTCAGACAATGGCAAAAAGGAAAATCAAAATACAAAACCTTAACTCATCTATATGCTCATTCCTCCAACAGCTATCTTTAACATTTACCTTGTGCCAGGCACAAGTTTAAGTGTTGGAAATTAAACAGTTAACAAGTGAGTCAGAATCCTGTCCTTGTGGGACTGGGTTCATATGATTATAATTCCCCTGTGTCCCTTACCTTGTTCATGGGAAGGAGTCATCTCTGAGATCCTTACACACCCACTAAAGAAACATCCTTCTGTGTCCTGGCTAATGGATCTATGCAAAGGCTTCCTTAACTGAAGCTAAGCTATAGGGAAAGACTCCACTTGGAGTGGTGAAGGTTGACATCATACCAGCAAAGTTATGTCGTGGGACAATGAAAAGCCTAAGAACGAGACTCCAGAAACTCTCAGCCATAGGAATGGCCACTCAGAGCATGCACACATGCATGCTAGGTCCATGTGTGAGTTCATGAGAGAGCAAAGTGAGCCACCAGTGGATGCAAAGAGAATATCCTTGTGTGTTGTGGCTCTCTCTTGCTTTGCATGAGTCATCTGACAACCATTTTAGGGCCTTTCAGGAAAGACTGAAGTCATTCTACTTTGAGCATCTTCATGGCTGGATGGGAGGTTAGTGAAAAGACATAACAAAATAGAAACCAATGCAGTAGTTCTCAAGACAGTTATAAAAAGACTCTGGGGGTCTTTGTATCAGTCCACCAAGGGTGATTTAAATAGTTCTTGCAAAAAAATCTCAGGATTGATGATTTGGTATAAATATGGGGCTGTCAAGAGCATCTATGGAAGTCCTAAATCCAGGAAACATGATGATTCCACCATCCTACCAATATGTATAGTTTTAATACATGGAAATAGAAGTTGTTCTTTATGTGGTTCTTGATGCCAAGATTCAGGACACTAGCATTGACCTTGTCTCATATGTGCCTTGTTGGTACCCCCAACCACCCCTTTCTGCTAACCAACAGTCTTTCCAGCCCTGGCAATTGGAGGAATTCCATCTCAGAATGAAGTGACCCAGTGGCATGTGCTGACAGAGAGTGAACCAATGTGCCTGAACATGGTGTTGATCCAAAAGGGCACATTGGTCCTCTTGTTGGTGAGAGGAAGCGTGGGGAGCCTGGAACACTCCAAACTTTTGGGAGCAGCAGGTGTTTGGGCTGAGCCACCCCTCTCCATAGCTTGCCCAGCAACTGGCTTCCCATGCTGTGATTGGCTGCTCTCCTTGGTCCTGGCTGAAGTCTGCCTAGCAGCACAGTGTCTGGTGCCCTACAGCTAGAGAGAAACCACTTGTGCAGCCCTGACTATAAATACCGCACAGGAGCTGTGCCAGCCAATCACCCTCCTTGAGGATTCCCTTCCCAGCTCCTGTTCCCTCATGGAGGTACAGCCAGCCATGCCCACAGAAGACAGCCTCCCTGTCCTCGCCTAAGTGGCCTGGAGCTCCAACCCAGCAATGCCACATCACCCCCATCTCAGCACACAATGGCAGTGGGTCTGGCTTCAGCTAGTCAACCATGCTCTGGAAGCCTTGGTGACCTGGCTCAGCCTGACCCTGGGAGAAGGTTGGAGCATGCAGGTTCTCCGAGGCAAGCCCCTGCAGTGCTTCACTAACCCACCTTGAGCAGCTTCTGCTAGGAGCAGTCATGAGAAGCACTGAGTGGCCTATATGATTGTCTGTATTGCTGAGGACAAGAAACTTAGAGACATGCTGGTTCCCGGGCTGAATCACTGGGTCCCCTGAAGTGAGGCTCACTATAGGCTACATGGAGATGATGTAAGGGGAATAGCAGTAAGGAACTTCCTTCTGCCATAATCCTGGCCCTTCCCCAGACTCTTCCTACATCCAGGAAGAGAAGTTCAGGAGCTGCCTCAGTAAGAACGGTCCACAGCCACAAAGCAGCCATAATAAATTCATGCCTAGGAGAGGCGAAAGACATGGGTTCCCATGCTGCCCATGCAAGAGCTAGCATCTCTCTTCAGCAACCTGACCCTACTGAGCTACAAGGACATGGGGTACAGAGAAGGCAAACATTTTGAGTGTCCTGAAATGTTGGTGAAACTAATCCAAACTGAGTATCCTCCTATCTTCAAGGCTAGAGGCAGGTCGCTGCCTTTGTTCCTCAGAAGGAAGAAGGGAGGTGAGCTAGGAGTTGGGGAACTTAGAGTTCAAGTTCCATGTTGGAACATCCCAGCCCACTCCACAGAAAGGTGTGGTGATCAGTCAGGCATCTGTGTGTGTGGTTTCATAGACCTCTTGGAGTGAATCCCAGCCTGGGAAAGGTTCCTGAATCAGGGGTGTGCACTCGTGGACTCCCAGGAGTATAGCTGTGTTAGCCCACAGGTGTGCACACCGTGGCAGTATGCACCAACATACAGCTATCTTGGGACACCCAGCTCCCTCTGTCCCCCAGTGAGGGAACATTATACCATGGTCACGGCGGTCGTTGACACCTTCTTTGCCTTTCCTAAATAGGAAACTTGCCCGAGAAGCAGTGCCTTCAGCAGCCTCAGGTCATCACTTCCTATGACAACCAAGGTAAGAGACTGATCATTAACTGCCATATCTCCTGTGAGTGTGTGCCTGGCTCTGCTGACCCTGTCAGAGAACACGGGATACAGAGATCAGGGCTTAGGGAGCAGATCCTCTCTGATCCATGGAGGTTGGAGCATCCTTTTGCCTCCCAGTATCTCAGAGGAAGAACTGAGAAGCTGTGTAGTCAAAGCCTACCCCCCCCCCATTTAAGAAGTGAAGCCCCTGGGTCGGGAACCCCATCACCATCAATACCATTGTCGCTGCTGCAGCTAACATTCACTAGTGCTAAGCATGTGTCTGGGACTCTGCCAACCCATAGACACATGGAATTATCAAAGTAACCCGAACTGGGTGACAGTCCCACTGCTTTACTGATGAGGGGACCAAGGCTTAGGATGGTTATCCAGCAACAGTCAAGGCCAGCTCACTGGTACCCTACCCTCCAACCCCAGCAAGCTGTTAACCTTCACACAGCTGGGCTTCCTCAGCTCCCTGGAAACTGATCTCCCCGCTGGCTCCCAGTATCCCAAGTCCTCCCATGTCCTCAGTCACAAAGGGTCCTTGACCTCTGCTGAAGCTGAGCCTGCTGAAACATGTCACTTGGTGCTGAGCCAGCCGCAGCAAGGAGAAGCAACCTGGTCCTTCCTTGAGCCCTCTCCTGAAGCACACATACTGATACAGGCCATGATGCGTCTCTGAAACTGGCTTGGCCGCACAAGGCTCCTGGCAGAGACACCTTGCTAGAAAGGCCATGAATAGGTGGCCATTATCTCATGTGGGGAACAAAACAAAGGCCCCCACCTGCCAAGATAAGTCCTAGAGAGAGGGAAAAGACTTGAAGGAGAAATTAAAGTGGGAGGGATGCTGGGGGGTGGGCTGTAGATCAGTCACCTGTAGCTCATTGGCTAAGAACAGCAAGATCTTTGCCTCAAGCTTCTGGGAGTTGGAAGTCCAGAGTCAGACTGCCTGGGTAAAAGGCAGGTGTCAGCAGGCTGGGGCCTTTAAAGCTCCGGAGGGAATCCATCCCTTGCCTCCTGCTCCTACAGTCTGCCAGCATTCCTTCCTTGCCTTTATGACTCTCATTCCTGTCTCTGCTTCCATTAACACATCGCCTTCTCTCCTTATAAGCAGGCAGCTCTCCCTCTTATAAAGTTTTATGTGGTCACATTTAAGGCTCAACCAGATAGCCCAGAATAATCACTCTGAGATCTATAGTTAAGGCGCATCTGCAAAAATCCCCCTGGCAGTCAGAGAGCCTGCGTGGATATCCTGAAAATTCATGATAAGGGACAATTGTAAACAGAATAGACAGAGCTGGGATGTAGCTTACTGGTTCGACTAGCATGTATGCATGAGGATTTTTGGTCTGATCTCCAGCACACCCCCTCCCCCCCACACAAGGAGAAAAGAGCGGGTGAACAATAATTGAGACTTATCATCTGACCGCCAAAAGAGGCGATGAGACAAAGGCAAAGGCATCTGGGGAGAGTTTTTAGCTGGGAGCCATGGCATGGAGGCACCAACAGGCAGGCATGTGTCTGGTGGGTGTGGAGAGTGGGTGGCTGTGGCCAAGGGAAAGAAGAAAAACCCCGTTAAGAGCAAGACCCCGTCAACCCCACAACAGCTTTACTGACAGATACAGCGCAGCATGGACCAGAGGTGGGACATGAGGTGTGTGCCAGACGTGAAGGTCGCCATCATTCAGGACTGCTCATTTCTTCCCCTCAGCCACATTCCATGGAAGGTTGCCACCTCTCAAAACTGAGGTCCACTGTATGGATAGAAAAATGGAGAAACTAAGGCACAGAGTCATCCAAACTGTTTGCCTGAAGTTATGCAACTAGATAAAAACAAGTCAGATACAGGTAGTTGAACATGTCTGTGTACCTCTCAAAGCCACATAACTTCTGTACAGCACTGCTCCCCAGACAGGACAGGGACCTCTCTAGTAGATTGAATACAACCTCCGTGCCCCACCCCAGGAAGAAATGCAAGGCTCCGGTTGAGAGCAGTTCAGCTTCCCCCCCCAACCCCAGCAACTTGTGCAGCTGCAGATTGTATACAGCAGATGATTTAAAAAAAAAAAAAGACCTTGGAAACATGGATCTTAGTACAAAGGGACTCTAGAAGATGGCTCTACCATGGACATGTGAGTGAGTTGGATGACAGGAAAGAGATTGCCAGGAGACATTGTGACTTCAGGCCCTCAGGGTTATGGCTGAGGAGTCGGTTTTGAAATCATACCCACCACGCTTGTTCCCAGCTTGCATAGCTGACTGCCATCTACTACATCCTGGGTGCATACAGCATGTGTCTCTTAAGATGCTGCTGTACATGATTTGTTTGATGGTGCCTTTAATAGGACGGATGCTTTAGCTACGATTTTCTGACTGTGTTACAGACGAGTATATCCAAGTATGTATGTCCAGGCTGTATGCATATAAGCATGTATAGAAAGACACAATGGCTCTGCAATGGTGTCTAACGTAAGTCCCAGGACTCCTCCACACACCTGTCTACCCCTGTGTGTATGTGTGTATACTCACACCCATGCACTCATGCTTGCCTAGCAGCATTTATTTGTTCATTGATCAGTGCTCAAGGCAACCTCTTGCAATCAGTCAGAGTTGATGAACAACACAAAACCCACTTAGCATGCCCACATTCCGTATTCTGAGTAAATTAAGTCTTTAGACAAATACCAATTGAAACCTGGAGCCATTAGGAGAGGTGTCATGTGGGAGATGTCACCTGACTGGGTAAATGGCAGGGCCAGGACAGTGCCCACATAGAATCTGTACCCTGTATGCTTTTGAGAGAGAAAGGAAAGAGAGCCAGCAACGTTTAAAAAAGGGCCAGCCTGGGAGCCACTTCATAGGGCTAGCAAAAAAAAAAAAAAAAAAAAAAAAAAAAAACCCTAAAGTGCTTTTACTAAATTCCCAAGGCTGCAGCTTTAGGAGGTTATTTGGATGGCAAATGAATTGCTGAGAAGGATGCATTGAGGGAGGCCAGCCAAGCCACCCAAAGTCCCAGGAAGGATCTTGTCAGTTGTATGGTGGAGAAGGTTGGTTGTTTAGTGGTCAGGGTCAGTGTGACTGGCATCTGTTTGTGATTTAGCTGACTTGAAGTCTGCCCTAGACCATGCTTCTCTATGATGAGCGCTGGGACATGTTAATGCTCGTTACTAAAATCTGAGTTTTATTTGATCTAAAAGTGAGGTGGGTGTACTCTCTCCCTCTCTGTCTATCTTGACACAGGGTGAGGACCCCAGGTCATTTCTGAGGTGTCCAGGGATGTCTCTCAGATGCTCTCCTCACTCTTGGGGAGCGGGCACATAACTCCAGAACAGGGATGAGAGCTTGACTGCATTCAGCAGCACAGCCTAGGGACAGCCAGGTCCTGGACAGGAGATAGAAAAAGATTTGCAGGAGGAAGAGGGGGTCCAAACAAAAGGAGCTGCTGGACTACACCCCCCCAATAAACATGAGGTCTCAGGAGGGCCACAACAGGGGTTTGTTTCATAGCCCAATCATTCTTAACAAAGAAACATGGCTGGACGGGGAGTGGCTGGATGTACCTAAGTTAGGAGAAATGTGAGAAGAGATTCATTGTTGAGTCCCGGGCCAAAGAGCTGTTCCCCTTCACAGCTCCTTTAAGGTTATAGAGGTTGTTTCAGCCCTAAACTCTGAAATACCCAGCATCTTCATCACAAGACCAGTGTTCACTGGCAGTGAATGTGCTAGATACAGCATTTTAAAGATGAGTGTAGGGCCGGAGAGATGGCTTAGAGGCACTTGCCCCACAGTCATGAGGACTAGAGTTCAGATCACAGATCACAAGCCAGGCATCCTCTCAAATGCCTGTAACCCAGCTCTGAGATTGGCAGAGACCAGGGGCTCCCTGGGACTTGCTGCTTTTCAGCCTATATGAAACACAAGCCCCAGGTTCAGGGAGAGACCCTGCCTCAAAGAAATGGGTGGGGAGAGATGGAGGACACCTGATGTCCTCTCTCAGTCTTTACACACACACATAAATGCACATGTACTTGCATACATACCCACACAGATACACACATTAACTAATTGATTAGTTAATTAATAATTAAATATTTTAAAATGAATGTTAAGCCTTTTGATCTGGATAGAACATTCTATTTTTGGCCTCTGTCATGCAAAGCAGGTTTTAATAGTACGTAGGATAATCAATATTGTTTTCCTACAAGAGAAAATAATGGCAATATATTTAACAAAGGACTAATAAAAGGAACTCTTACAAAATCATTGAGTGAAACATAATAAATCAGTAATATATATGTGTGTGTATATACACACATGTGTATATATATGTATATACATATATGTATATATAATCAGCACACAAAACACAAATTAAATAGCAAATAAAATACTTTTAGGGGGATGGTATGGGGGGGTTGGGGGACATGGGAGCATAGGAAGGAGGGAGGGAGGGAGAGGGAACTGGGATCAATATGTAAAATAAGAAAACTAATAAATATATATAAATATTTTTTAAACCCACTACACTGAAAACTAAAGAAATGTATAAAACAATAAGGCACCTTTTGTTAATAAAAATCTGAAGGGTTTATGAAAGCAAGTGCCAATGAGCTTAGCAGGCATGTTTGTGTTATCCACCACCACAGGGCTCAGCTGCTAGTGGCATTGGTGGCTTCCAAGCCTGCAGGTCTTCTGGAAGATCGCTGTCCATGCCATCCCCAGCTGATCTGGGCTCTTGGCTGGGCTGGAGTATGTGCTGGCTGTCAGCTGGTGGGCTGGCTGGAGACCAGCTGGTTTCAGATAGCCTCACCTGAGCAGCCCTGCTCTGCTCCCTGTGGCCTCTCACCCATAGTCTGGTACACACACAGCGCTGTAGCAGGAAAGCGGAGAGTGCAAGCAAGCATTGCAAAGCCTCTCCAGGGCTCAACTCAGACCTTGAATGGTAACATGGCTTCTAGCACATGCTAATTGGCCATACTAACTCTTGAAGTCTGTCCACATTCAACGGGTAAGACAAAACCCTTCTCATTGGGAAAAAGGCGAAGTGTGAGCAGTTTTGCCACCAACCACAGCCAGAATGACGGGGGAGGGAGCATCACCCCCTTTGGTGGGATCATAAACCAATGGGACCATCCGTGGGAAAGTTGGCCAGTGTCAAATGAAAGCCTTACAAAATCCCCCTTCTCTTCAATAAGTGTTGAAGAATTCACTCACAGGGACGGATTTGAAAGTGTTAACGATGTCTGAACCCTGATGTTCACATCATCGTTTATCATAGCAAAGCGCTTGGGAACTGCGGGGTACCTACCGCACACAGGGAGCCTTAGTGAATGAATACTCTGTGAACGTGTGACACGGTGTGTATTCCACTGCCAGGGGTGACCTTCTCCCCAGCCTCACGGAGGCCACACCAGCCTCAGACTGTGCTATTTAATACTATTCTATGGTGGTTGGTTTTTGTCTTATTAGTCCCTTCGATCACTGAGAGAGGAGCTCGGAAACCTCCGACTATAATAAGTCAAATGTGGGTTGTCATGGGACTGACTTTGGCTAGTACCTTTTCTTCCCCAAATTGAGATCTTCCTGGGTGTTCTGCTGAGCAGTTTTAAGTGGTGGACTTTGAGCCTGCTGTCTGTGTGCGCAATGCCACAGCCTTTGCAGGGCCTCCCTGTCCTCATGTGTCATGCGGTGGCCTTTGCAGAGTCTGTCTGCCTGCCTGCATGTGTCATGCAGCGGTCAGTTCAGAGTAAGGACGTTGGTCTTCCCAGTGTTCTATGGTATGGTGCATGGGGTGAGACCTGTGACGTAGGGCTCAGAGGTGACCGTGGGAGCTTATCTGTAACTTTAAGGAATTACACCCGGCAGTCTGCCGGGTCAAGACCACTTCCTATTCCTCTAGCCCAAAAGCTGGGGTCTTTTCAATCTGTGAGGTGACAGTTGCACTAGCAGGGGTAGAGAGTGCATTATCTGCGTAGTCAACAGAAAGCTCTAAAACGGTGTGTGTTCAGTTGTTTGAACATCTGCCGTGGCTGGTGTGCCCTCCCTGGCAACATTTGGCTGAAGATGTCACCTCCCCACCCCCGCCCCTTGCAGGTACTCAGCTGACTGTGGAAATCCACCCCCAAGATGCCATGCCCCAGCTGCTCAAGAAGTTCTCTTTGGCAAAACGTAAGTACGTGTACAGGGCTGCCCAGTAGAGGGCTGGCAGGGAGAGTGGGGGAGGAAGAGTCTGGCCTGGACGTCCATCTTCTGTGTCTCTGTGACAGGGCCTAGCTGATGCAGCATGCAACTAATGGTGCATTCCCTCCCCAGACTGTTGCTACCACTGCTTTAATATGCCATCTGTGGGCTGCCCAAACTGTGGCAGGCATGGTGCTAAGTACTTCCCATGCCTCAGCCTGTGACCTTTATGCATATGTTAGTATCCATCCCAAGTTTTTCAAGCTAGCAAAGTGAGGCTTGGAAAGGAGATGTGACTATCCAAGAAAGTTACCTAACCAAGAGATTAAAAACCCAGGCCCAAGTCTAAAGCCTCTGGCTTTAGCTATCGTGTGTGGCAGTTGTCAGAATATGTGGGCAGGCAGGAACACAATGACCCTCCATCCCTGCTCTATCTTTACCCTGACTCTTGGGATGATGGGCGGGGTGGGGCTCATGAGGAAAGCAGGCAAAGGAGGGGAGGCTGCAAGAGCCTCAAGTCCCTCCCATGTCCACTTAATGAGCCAAAGCTCCCCCCCCCAAGCTGTCCTTGCAGTCCTCAGAAGTCAGGCACCCAGGAAGGCAGTTAAACGGCTCCAGGGCCCATGTATGGTTTCACTTAACCTTCCTTTGGGTTTTTTTTTGTTTTGTTTTTGTTTTTTATCTGTTTGTTTTTTCATGTAGAAAGGGAAGAAAATAAGTAAATCTCCCTTGCAGGATTATTCTCAGTTCCCAGTAAGAGCTAGCTACTCTGAACCCTGTGGTGCCATCTGAAGATGGGGGTGGGGGGAGGTTTCCAAGAAAGAAAAAAAAGAACCTATTTCTGGGAATGGCAAGCACCTTCTCAACTTTCAGTTCTTATATTTACAGCCTTAATTGGCTTCTAAGGGCAGAAGCCACCTGCCTTGGCGAACCCACCCCCAACCTCACATGGTTTCATTAGAGACCACATCCTTCTGACCTGGTTTGGAACCAGTGGCAAAAGCTCCTTTGCTGCTTTCCCAGGCACTTTCCAGTTGGCTGACATTCCATCTCAACCTCCCAGAATTCACAGCATCAAGCCACTTCCTCTGAGGGGTACATGACCTTCTGGGCCCTGAGGTCCATACCCACGATCTTCTGTGCCTCTGTTATCATTCTTGCCCATAGTCAGTTCTTGTCTTGGGTGATCTGGAAGGAGCCAGTCCATAATCTCAGTGTCTGTAGCTAGCTATCTTCCAAGATGGCAGATGTGGAGTAGGGGTAGACTACTGGACCACAGCTGCATGTGGGCCTGACGGAGGGTATAAAGCATTGAGATCAAAGACCATAGATTTCAGTCGCTGTTTCCGGTCTCTCCTCTGCCCCCGTGGACCTCATGGAAGGTCTGGAAACAGAGCAGTGGTGGGTGGGGATGGGAATGTGAGGGAAAGCCAGGGCTGCTGCCTAGGGAACCAAATTCCTTCTGACCTATCTCTGACCTTTGGGATGTTACAGGTTTACAAGGTGATAAAAATGGAAACATGAGACCCCGGCAGCCTGGAGGGAAAGATGCCCATGGTGAGTCCCAGGCCTTCTCTGGGGCCTCTTGAGAAAGCAGTGAGTTGGTCACTTGGTCCAGTCTGCAGCCAATTGGTACTGGCTTACTGGATCATCAAGTGTCTGAAACAGTCTGCGAATTTGGGAGAAAGAGAGTCATGATTGACTAGTAATGTCTGCCATGGACACAGGTGTAGAAGGGAAAGCTGTAATGTCAGATATCATCCCAGTGCTCAAAACTAACCCTTCTGATTACAGAGCAGCTCACTGTAGGAGGCACTAAAATCAGAGTTCAGGTGATGATAACTTGGAGTTGGGAATGTTGCTCAGCTGGTAGAATGCCTACCTAGCACAATGAAGCTTGGGGGTTCAGTCCTCAGAACCAGATCCATTGGGTATGCTGGCACATACTCCTGGATTGCTAGCACTTGGAGGTAGGGGAAGGAAAATGAAAAGTTCAAGGTCATCTCTACCACATAGAGAGAACAAACCTGAACCAGAGACCCTGTCTGAAAGAAGAGGAAGAGAAAGAGAAATGTTAACCTTAGATGGAGGTCTTGGAATACAGCTCAGTGGTAGAAAGCTTACCTGTCACCATGTGCAAGGTTCTGAGTTCAATCCCCACTGTCACCGAAAAAAATTGCAAACAAATGAATAAAATATGGTGTCAAATGTCCATAAGTTGGGGAGCACATGAACAGCAGTTTAAGGCAGAGAAAGGAACACTGAAGGGGGTGATGTGAAATGGTAGGTGGCCTGGATTGGAACCCTGTTTTTCCTCTGGGCCTCAGTTTCCCCCTTGGTATGCCAGATGCTGACAATGGCTCCATGCATGTCTGCCTATTTTTCTTCTAAAACCAGAATGAGTTAATTAATGCTACTGGTGTTTTAAATCTCTTCATACAAAATCCTATTTTCCTATTGGAAACTTACATAATCTGCTCAGAAGGTAGATTTAATGAGGCATGAATCAGCGTGGCTATTTTGAATATAAAATATCAAATATTGAAAAATGGAACCAGGGAAGGAGGAAATAATAAAATAGAATTTTAAACCTCATTTTAGAAAGAAATGCCATCCTAAACAGGGGCAAGGAAGAGCTACACTGAGTGGCAGCCAGCACGGTGTGAAAGTCCACTTGATACCCACTTGTCACTCCAGGGCTGTTGTCGGACAGTGATGCAAGCCTCTCTGAAGAGAACTCTGAGTCTTGGGGCACCCAGCAGGAGATGGCCAGTTATCTCCTTCTGGTGGGGTGGCTAAAGTGTGGCTGCCTTTGGACCACATTAGCTGGTTCACAGTTATCTGCAATAAGATGTTCTAGATCCAACTCCAAGGGTAAACATGAGCCTGGATGATATCAGCTCCTGAGCCCCAGATCTACCTCCCAGCACTGCCTGGGGCTCTCCTGTGTCCCGTGGGCAAGCCTAGATAGGTGCTGGCCATAAACCAACATCAGTGTCCAGTTTCTCTCTTCCTTTCTACCCTGGTGGCCTGATTCAAATTCTGATCTTCTACAGGGAGCCTCCTATGGGTCCCAGGTGATCAGCCTTGCCAGGCTTTCTTATACCCAGCATTCCTTGAGGTACCTTACACCCAGCACATGGCCATGGGACCCTCCCTGACTGAGAATACCAGGATCCAGCAACATTGCTTGAATACTACTTACAGAAAGTTTAAAAAAAAAAACTAAATACCAGAGAGAGAGAGAGAGAGAGAGAGAGAGAGAGAGAGAGAGAGAGATTCCATCAGCATTTGTCTGGGAACAGTTGTGTTAACCAAGTGCTTAATCTTCAGGGTCTTCAAAATAGTCTCAAGTTCCTTGTGGATGACAGTAGGGGTCATCACAGTTCCCAAACCACTTTGTCCAAAGGAACTCTTCTAGGAGGTACAGCTCTTGGAATCATGGAATAAGAAAGGTTAAACAGTCACAGATCTTCCAAGTGATCACAAGGCTTGGGCTCACAGCCTTTCTCAGTGGGTTCCCTGCTGACCTGGTTTCCCTGTGTTTCCAGCTTACCCCTGGGACAGATCCAGCTTGAAATCCATGCCCCTGGACCTGTGGCTCTTTGAGAAACTTGATGCCTCTGCCTCACAGGTAGGAGAACTGGCCCCCTAGCTAAGTACCCTAAAGGTTACCTAGTCAGGATAACAAACCTACCTCCAGGCCCCTCTTGAACACATCCTGAGTAAGTCAGATGGATGGTCTATGACTGTCCCTTCACAGCGTACATTTCTTACTTTCCTATGACTGTGATCAGCTGACAAAGGCAAGTTAAAAGAGGAAGGATTTGCTTAGGCTCACAATTTAAGGAGGTGGCAGGGAGGGCATTGGGAGTGTGAGCATCACAGGGATAAACACATTGCAACCCCAGGCAGGAAGAGAACAGACTGGATATTGATCTGGCTATAAAACCTCAAGGCCTGCCATCCGGTGACCTACTTCCTGCAGCAAAGCTCTGCCTCAAAGTTGAGACCTTCTAAAAGAATAATGCCATCTGGGGACCGAGTGTTTAGATATGTAACCCTATGAGGGATATTTCGCGTTAGACCACAGCAGTATGAGTGAGTGTTGCATTAAATACGTAGGTGGTGGTATCTTAGCTGCTTTTCCATTGCTGTGATAAACACGTTGACCAAATTCACCTTGGGCTGAAAAGGGTTTATTTCATCTTAAAACCTGTAGTCCATCATCCTGGGACACCGGGACAGGAACTCAAAGCAGGAAGCCTAGAAGGAGGAGCTGATGCAGAGGCCATGGAGAGCACTGCGTACCGGCTTGCTCAGCTTGCTTTCTTGTAGCACCCAGGAGCACCAGCCCAGAGGTGGCACTACTACCCTCAGAAAGCTGGGCCCTCACAAATCAATCGTCAGTTAAGAAAGTGCACCACCAGCCTGTCTACAGGCGATCTGGTGGGGCTATTTTCTCAATCCAGGTTTCCCCTTCCCAAATAACTCTAGCTTGTGTCAAGTTGACATAAAACTAGCCAGCACAGATGTGTTTTAGTAAATATTAACCATAGCTACTCAGATGCCCACCTGGCTGGCCCCAGATGGAAAGAGAGAAGCTGAGGTGGCTCTAGGGCCTGAAATTCAACTGGCCAGCACATGTGCCCTGTCCAGCTCCCCCCAGACAGCCTCTGACCTCCCCGGGTCCTGCTCCAGCTTCCTGCCTGGAGGAAGAGTGGCTGGCCAGACTCCCATACTCCCCAGTCCCCAAAGCAGTCTGCTCTTTGTGCTCACAGGTGACAGTCAAGAGTGGCCTGGATGAGCTGGTGAGTGACTTGCTCCAGGAAGCCCACAGCGATCTGGAAAAGGTCCGAGCCATCTGGATCTGGATCTGCCATCACATAGGTACACCACCAGGGGGCAGCACTGGGAGCCCTGGATGTCTCTTCCCTCAGATTCCTGCTTCTGTGTGAGGAGAGTTAGATCAGGGAGAAGTGTTCCCTAGTGCCAGAAGTAACCAAAGACTAACCAAAGAAGGTAAAACCACCCTCTAGACCTGGGCCTTCACCCGAAAGCTGCCTTCCCTGGGCCCTGGATTCCTAGTGCGCCTGCTCTGCAGAGATGAGACCCTGGGACAGGCCTCCTCCAAGAAGGGTGGCCCCAGACTGAGGAGAGAACAGCTGTTTGAAGAGCAGTAACAACACCAGAAGGTCCTAAAACAGTGCCAGGACGGGCGGGTGCTCGCTTCCTGATGTCACATCCATGTCCTCAGCCACTAGTTTCCACCTTCTCCCGCGGTTCCCAGAGCCATCCCAGGGACCTCGGCCTCGGCAGCTGCCTACTGCTCTCCATAGACAGACTTGGGAACCTCGCCAGGTCCTGCCAAGCCATAGAAGGTGCTGAGTCCTGCAAAGGGGAGATGGTGACCATCAAGTAGTGGGATGGACCCTTAGTCCTTTGACACAGAGAGCAGTGTTCCACCCTGACATGGAGAACAGTGCTCCACCCTGACATGGAGAACAGTGCTCCACCCTGACATGGAGAGCAGTGCTCCACCCTGACATGGAGAGCAGTGCTCCACCCTGACATGGAGAGCAGTGCTCCACCCTGACATGGAGAACAGTGCTCCACCCTGACATGGAGAGCAGTGTTCCACTCTGACATGGAGAGCAGTGCTCCACCCTGACATGGAGAACAGTGCTCCACCCTGACATGGAGAAAGGTGTTCCACCCGGATTCCTTGTGGCTCTTTTGTCTTCCAGCCAGAGCTTAGAAAATGTGTTCACCTACCCAAGGTCTGAACCTGAGGGAGACAAGGTCTCATTCTGTAGCCCTGACTAGCCTGAAACTCTCTATGTACATAGGCTGGCCTTGAACTCAGAGATCTGCCCACCTCTGCCCTGTGAGTGTGGAGATTAAAGGTCTTCACCATGAGGCCCAGGTAGCCCCCCTGCTTTGGCCCCAATCCCCCCTTTGCCACCTACACAAAGGGTGGCGTATCCCGAATCTGGCTAGGTTGGGGTTCTGTTTGCATTCATACCACTTTTTCCTCCTGAGTGCAGCTGAGGACGGAGGCCATGCTGTGGGCTCTGTGGCTTTCCCTTCCTCCCTGAGCCAGCCTCAGCCACCTGGGAGCCCTGTGCGCTCACAGCCCATTCCTCTGTCCCCCAGAGTACGATGTTGAGGCTGCCCAGGAGAAGGACCGCCAAGCCTTCAAACCCACCGACATCCTGAGGACTCAGAAGACCAACTGCGATGGCTATGCTGGCCTCTTTGAGAGGATGTGCAGGTATGAAAGGCAGCCTAGGACAGGCTGAAGTCCCGGGGGCTGTCACCCAACGATGTCCTTCTCTTTCTTCTGACGCCCTCTGTGCCTCTGCCCCTATGCCAGGCCTGGGGCTTGAGTTTGCAAACTCTGCCTGGGAATCCAAGTGAGTCCTGAAAAGGTCAATCTCTCCCTTTTTAACACCAGCGTAATTGACTTTGGACCATCTGCCGGGCTTCGCCATGCATTAACATAATGGCAGATGAATGCACAAAGATAATTTGGTTATAAAAGGCCCCTTTTCTGCCTTCTCCCTTCACTGTACAGCTGAAGGTTAAAAGCAGGGCAGGCCTGAAGGCAAGAGGACAGCGGCTGCTAATGCCAAAGGGACAATGAAAGGCTGTCCTTTGGGGAAGGGGAGGGATCTCTACATGAAGATAGAGTAGTCTGCCTGGAAAGGTCCATTGGTGGGAAAGCTTGGTAACCAGGTAGTAAGTAGTCCTGTGTCTTTGGGCCCCTTCTCAGAGCTATGGGCTTAGCTGCAGGCCTAAACAAGATCACGTTAATTTCCAGTAACTTCTAGACAGTGTCAAGGAGCCATACTGATCCCCGTGTCTCCCTATGCTCTCTTTTCTGGAGTCTCCTGGGTTCCCTGTGGGGGTCCCTGGAAAATGAGGGAATGGCTGTGTCTGCTAATGTGTGTGTTATATTAGGCTTTCATTTCAGAGCCTTTTACTTCTTTTGATGCTGAGGAATCAAAGCCAGGGCCTTTCTCATGGAAAGTAGATAATCTACCACCAACCTATGGTGTTTGTGACAGTCTAGCTATGTAGTTCAGGCTGGCTTTGAACTCACCCTGGGGTGAACTAAGTGATGGGATTATAGGTATACAGTTGCTATAGGTATACAGCAACTGGTCTGACAATAACTTATAACTTTAAAAAAGCTCTACTATATTTATTTATGTCTTTATCTCAGGGGGAGGGGCATATATATGCCAAAGCATTCTTGTGAAGGTCAGAGGATTTCTCTCCTTGTAGCATGGGGGTAGTGAATTCAGGTCATTGAGCTTGGTGGCAAGTGATTTTACCCACTGAGCCATCTTGTCAGCCCCTTAATAACTTTGTTCAAATTTTTAAAAAAGATGGCTCACTATACATAATCTGCAAAATTGCACAAAACAAGGAAAAGAAGACTAAGTGACCCTGTACCCCTCACGTGGCCATCACCAATGCCTTTGTCCCTTCCCAGGCTCGCTCTTAGCACAGTTATTCTCTGTGCTCCCTTCCTCCCTTTTTGCCTCTGTGAACATCCAGCTCCAAATCATGCACATAGTAGGTATTTACAGAGTGATGAGAAGTGGGAGGACATGCCTAGCAAACTATGTGCCTTCTTTTAAATAACACAACACCACTAGTACATTTTCAGTGCCTGCCTGGCGTGTGTCAGAACATGGTTGTTTTCGTAGGAATTTGTAGATTTGAAAACACTCGGGTTTCACTTTTATCGTATTCATTCTTTCACAGTTTCATACATATATGATGTGCTTTGGTCGGATCTCCCATGGTCCCCTCTTATCCTCCTCCCTCTCCCTCAAGTTGAACCCCTTCCTCCCAAAAGGCTGCCTTCCTACTTCCACATCTTTGGGGACCACTGTATTTAGTTAGGGTTGTCTGCATGAGTGGGAGCTACTTAGATAAACAAGGGCGATTTACCACTGAAAAATGGTACTCTCCCTCCCCCAGCAACCATTAACTACCTATAGCTTCGCTTTCTGCCGCATGAGCCCCTCTGGCATCCCTGATTGAATGTCATGGGCCTGTCCCAGCAGCACTGGAGTCCTACAGGTAGCCTAGCTACTGAGAGTCCTGACAAGCACCCTTCTGGCTCACTGTAGAAATGCCACTGGGACAGCCAGAAAGACCTGGGCTCCCATCCCTAACTGACCACTTCCGGGTTTTCCAGGCCTCAGTTTGCTTATCTGTGCCACAACAGGACTGTTAGGGAAAGGGAACGCGCTATTTGGAGACGCTGCTCAGCTGAATTTGGAATTGCTGGGGTTTGGTTTGTTTTGTTTTGTTTTTTTACTTGCCCCATCTTTTATAAGTATAGGAACATTTTTGTGGAACTTTCCTCCAAACTCTGCCAGCCCACCCACATAGGTTCAGAAAACTGACGCTTGCCTTGATTGAAACTGTCAGCTCTCTGACCTGGTCCAGATGCTTAACAATGGCCACATCCTGCCCTGCAGCTGATCATTAAAATACACCCCAACATTTTGCATCAGTTATAGACTCAACCAAGCAGTTGCCATGCACAAAATCCCTGGCACTTCAGGGATGCTTAACAATAGCTCCCAGTTCTGTGAATTCCCTTAACTGATGCTTTAAAGATCAGGAACCCATTCATGCATGACTCCCCTAACCCCTTCGCCCCTGAAATACCTGCCAAACATTTGGCAAATTCATTAGCTGATTCCTTAATAACTGTAGACATGCAATCCACAGTTGCTGACTTAGTCTGCTGGGCTGTCAGGGTGGCCTCTTAGAGAGAGCTGTACTCAGGGGCCAGCACTGTTCCTGCCCAATCATTTGCCTCTCACAAGGCCTTGTTAAAGACTGATTTAATAAAGTGCTTTGGTAAGGACCTAGATATTTTCAGGCATAAGTCGTTCCCCCTTCGTCTTTCCTGAGTTTCCAATGTGATGTGTTTTGTTAGTCCTGTTCCTTGCCTGTGTGACTTGTTGGTCCTGTTTCTTTCTGACTTTTCTATCATTGAGTATTAAGTCTCTCTTTAGCCTCCATTGCCCACAGCCTTAATTGATTTCTGCCTAATCTCCTTGCAGGGGCCAAGGTTAATTCCCCAGGCTCCTGCCACAGAGTCAGCCTGCAGTAAATTCTCTCCCTCTGTAATCACAGCCCTAGCATCACAGCTAGCAGATTTTCCAGAGATTTGAGATAACCAGGAGTTTATTACCAGTCTGGGGCTTTGACACTGAGCAGGCTGGTTGTCACCAATCATATGTCAGCAGCATTTCCATCCACCCATCTTCTAGTGTCACAGAGAGCAAGGACAGAAACATGCCTGTTCAGACGGCTGCTGCTGGTCAATATGACCATCGTCTGAGCCTCTTGGGAAATGTGGATCTCCGGGAGCTGAGTAGTCTTTTTTCCTCTTTTTCCATCAGTGTCAGAGAGTGATTCCAGACTTGTGTGCATGCTAACTAGCTCTGAGAACTCTATCACTGAAGTGCATCTCCAATCCTCCATTCAGTTTTTATTTGGAGACAGCATCTGAGTTACCCAGGCTGACCTTCAACTCACTCTGTAACTCAGGCAGTTTTCCTCCCTCAATCTCCTGAGTAGCTAGGACTACAGGCCTACACCCCCAGGCATGGTTTGAACAGTTTAATTATTGCCAGTTCTAGCTCTGTCACATAAGACCTCTGAAAGAGACATTGAAAACCCCCCTTCCTTATAGATACAATGGCGGAGGATGAGAACCTGAATTCTATTACTATAGCAAATCAGCAAATCATCTTTTAATTTTGCTGTGTACCACCAAAAGCCTTACAAATTAAAACAGAATCTTGGTCTGCAGAAGTCCTGGTGTAATTGAAAAGCTCTCAGACGCTGCCTCAAGATTGCTGCGCCCCAGGTTCACTTTAGCCATTATCTGGCTGTGTGTCCCCAAGCCGGGGAACATCTTTCTCTGAACCACTGTTAGGCAGGAAAGCTGAGGTCATATCTCATGAAGCCAGAGGTGGATAGATGTGTAGCAAGGATAGAGAGATGTGTAAGCTTGTACAAAATCAAGTACACACGTTGTGAGAGATGCCATTGCTTATGTTCTTCTGCAGTATAGAAATCACACTTTTTCAACAGGACAATGAAGAAAAAGCATGTGTCATTCGCCATGGTCAGAAACTGCAATGTGTAGAGTATCCCTGCCTGCCCAGACCTTCACCCACACTGCCAGTAGGGCCTGGCCATTCACGGGCTATAGCCGCATCACACAGTTCCTGTGGTAGGGCCTGGACCATGTCTATATCAAACGACCGTTGTGGTCTTGGCCCACCACCTCTTCAGTCAGTACCCAGGGTCACACCCCAGCAAGCTGGTATGCTCAAATCTTTGGTAAGTGACAAGGAAATGCAATCATGGAAGCTAAAGCAGCTCCAGAAGCCAGCCAAGGCCACCAGGTAGCGCTGCCTCCCATTTGCCTGCACCTCTGCCCAGTGCATATTCATCAGGCCCCAGTGGATGGCCAAGTGTGCTTCTGGAACCTCCCAGCAATGGTTGGCTCCCTGGGCCCTGATGCTGGCTGGGGCTGGGCTACAGCTTTCTCCTGGTATGCTGGGTGTCTCCGGAGACTTGCTCATGAGTCCTGCATGCAAGTTGGCTTTGCAACTTCAGACGCACATGCTCCCTGTGCTGATGCGCTGACACAGGTAGTTAGGACTGTCAAAAGGGAAAGGCTCTACACCCTGAGGCTGTTAAATAGACGGCTCTGAACCGTGTTTGGTGCTAGCTAATCAAGCTATTCAGCTGGTGGAAACATTCCTCACCCTTGATGACTCCTTCAATAGTTCTCCCAGCCTGGGAATTCCCAGAGCTTGGCTTTCAGTCTGGGGTCTCAGTGACTGTTCCCAGAGCCTCCTCCTTTACAAACATGAGCTCTTCCAAGGCAGCTGCTGAGCCTCAGCTTGGAACAATCTCTCACTAGGTTTGTGCTGCGCCCCCGTACCCACTCCTGTGCTTGGCACACCATTTATACGGCCAGTGGTCTCTCGATGACATGAAAGGGTCACGGATCATGGTCTGACCAGCAACCAGAGAGGCTGGATGCAAAACTACTAGTTTTACAATCATTGTTTTATACATGTGAGTTATGTTACTTCATAGAAAAGCCATGGATTGTTGACAGCACTTTACATTGTGACTTCTGTTCAATTCATCTTGCACATGGCTGCCAGATAATAAAATATCTCCATGCCATACTCCAGCAATGCATAAACTTACAGCTGAGTTCATTTTTCATCATAGTTCTGCCACAGGCATTTCCCCAAGGCCCTTCCTCCCTCTCTTCAGCCTGTCAGAGGAGAATTGCCCCCCAGAGATCTCTTAATGCCAACCATCCTTTTTGCCCATAATGAGCCTAGTAGGGTCACTACAGGTGACTGTTAGAGGTAGGAATGGAGTCCTGATTTCCTGGCTGCACCCTGTGGCCACCCGTGCCAGCTTGGAGCAATATGGGTACGTGTTATTGTTGTCCTTTCTTCCTCCTGTTGGGCAAGGCCTTTCCTTGCTTCTTCAAATCTTCCCTCCCCTTCTTCTCCTGATAGAAGCGTATCCCTAGCACACTCTTTAAAACAGGCTTCTCTCAGGACGAGGTCCAGACTGCCTTAGAGGGTGCCCAGTGTACTCCAGCACCTAGAGATGGTGTGGATACTAAATGCCCCTCCTTCCTTCCTCCCCTCCTCCCTCCCTCTCTCCCACCTTCCCTTCCTTCATCCTGGTGCTCTGAGCAGAGATCAAAAGTACCATGGAACAATCCAGAACCCAGCAATTCCTCTCACCACTTGCCCTTACTGTGAAATGAACCATTTCAAACACAGTGGGCTCTCAGGGTTTCCCTTTACCTTCCACAGCAGACTAGAACTTACATACACAACATTCTGAGAAAAATGAGAGATAATTCACTGAAGGATATAGTGTAAGTTGTATGTATACATTTTCCCAATTCTAAAAGTAACAGAATCATTATTTTAAAATGATTTCAAAATTTGTACAGTACTGGAGATTGAAGCTTGGGTCTCATGCATGCAAGGCAATCAATCACTCTGCCCTTGAACTACAGAACCCCTCCCCCAAAATAATTAAGATGCAGAGGACTTATAAAGAAACAAAAGCACCCATAATTGTATTACCAAGAGATCAAGGCTCTTTCCTGCCCTCTGCCCTCATTTTCCATGTATACACACATTTCACTCAGAGAGACTTCTGCGGTGGCTTCCTGCCCTGGGAACCTTCTGTTCTGGAACTCATTTTTGGACATCACCAGCAGAAAATCCTGCCATCAGGGTCTAGCTACTCTTGATGTTTGTCAACAGGTTGCCCCCAAGTGCTCCTGAAGCATTTTTCACAGGAAGGACCCAGCTGCTACAATCTCGTGAGATTACCTGGGAAGCCCTGGGGGCCTGAACTTTCTTTTTGACACTGGAGCAGGAGGACAGGAGCCACCAAATGTCATCCCCTTAGGAGTCTCAGTGTGTGTGGTCTCAGCATGGCTCTGCGGGTAGAGGAAGGCTGAAGCAGATGTGGGAACGTGCCACCTTTCTCTGCACGTGAAGCAATGTGAGGAGTGAGAATCTCTTCATTTTCATGAAACCACATTTACCCAGTGACTCAACAAATGATGTGTCAATATTCAATATTCAATGTGGCGTTCTCCTGAGTACTAGCTGAATGTTCATCTTCATGGGGAAGCCTCTCCCTGTCCTCACAGCAAATGCATAATCATCTTTCCACATTACTGGGAGGCCCTGTTGTTTAAAGGGATTGGGGGATTCAGACCTGATGTACCCAGAGGGTGCCCCACTGAACAGGACCTGCTACCTGGAGCCCGCATCAGAGAGATGCCCAGGGTCAGCACTGTGTGGAGGGTAGGGCAGTTGTTGAGGCAAAAGGGTTCTACTGAAGAGTCGCTTTGGACATCCAGGACTCTGTAGGCTTGTGCATTTATTATACTGGTTTGGTGGGAGGGGGGTGCAAGAAAAGTGTTGGGGCAGTGCAACTTTCCCTAATTCACAGAGGCAACATCAGATCGTTGGCAGCCCTAGGACCAGCAGCTTCAAGTAGTCAGACTGGCACTGTCCATTCTTCTGTAGCCATGTTCGGGGAGAAGCTGTTAAAGAGGAGGGGCACTGAGTGTTGGGGCCTTCAGGGACCTTGATGATTCTTCCTTGGAGTGTTGGCTACAGCCCAGACCTGATTTTATGTCTCCAAAAGTGACTAGCACCCATTTCCCCACAGTCCGAGTTCCCCCAAAGTGGTGCCTGCTTTGCTGTTAGCAATAGGGATACCCTGTCAAGAAGACCATAGAACCATGGCTAGCCGGTCAATATTTCCACTCCTCACAGAACAGATAGAGACTTCAAAATGGTGACTGTCTTAGTTAAGGTTACTATAGCTGTGATGAAACACCATGACCAAAGCAACTTGGGGAGGAAAGGATTTATTCAGCTTACTATTCCATCTCACAGTTATCATCAAAGGAAGTCAGAATAGGACCTCACATAGGGCAGGAACCTATAGGTAAGAGCTGATGCAGAGGCCATGGAGGGGTGCTGCTTACTGGCTTGCTCATTATGGCTTGCTCAGCCTGCTTTCTGATAGAACCCAGGACCACCAGCCCAGGGATGGCACCACCACATCAGTCTGGACCTTCCCCATCAATCACTAATTAAGAAAATGCCCAACAGGCTTGCCTACAGCCCAATCTTATAGAGGCATTTCCTCAACTGAGGCTTGCTCCTCTACTGACTCAAGTTAGTGTCAAGTTGACATAAAGCTAGCCAGTACAGTGGCCCAGGCAGTCACCAGTGAAAGACATAAATACATGGTACTTTCTGTTCCCTGCTCATAAAAGCCAAAACTGATGGTCAGGTATTCCGGCAGCCAGTCCATTCTCCTTGGTTAGTTCTAGATACACCAGTCTGCCTGCCCTTCCTGTCCCCATGCAGACAAGCTTGGGGGAGCACAGGTAGGCATCCATCTCAGCTACCCCCTACCCCACCACCAGCACTCTCCGAGGTGTGCTGGCTTTCCCAGCCTCTGTGTACGGCTCTTTCGTGTTGGTCTTCTTCCAAGAACATCTCAGCTTCCCCTGTGTTCTTGAGGCTGCCCTCGCTCTTGTCCTCATTTTCCCTCCTGAGGAGCTAGCTGTGCACCAGATCATGTCAAGCAGGCCCTGGGGAGACACTTCAGAAGTGAGCTGAAGTGGCTCAGGGGAGAAGCTAGCAGCCAGTCTGCTCAGGCAGGGCCTGCCAGCCAGCACTATGGCTTCCTGTCCCCACGCCCAGCACTCGAGCTCCTTCTCAGACCCATGTCCCACCCCCAGGATCGCTGGTGTGCAGTGTGTCACCGTGCCTGGCTACTCCAAGGGCTTTGGCTACCAGACTGGGCAAAGCTTCTCTGGAGAGTTCGACCATGCCTGGAATGCTGTGTACCTTGAGGGCCGTTGGCACTTGCTGGACAGCACCTGGGGCAGTGGCCTGGTGGACACTACCACCTCTAAATTTACGTTTCTGTAAGTACGAGGCTCATCTTTCTGGTGAGACCAAGGGTCTGGTCTGTGTGTGGAGGGTGGGGGGCACAGGATGAAGGAGGGAGGCATCTGAGGGAAGGGAAGGGCCAAGTGAAAGGGGATGGTTAGACAACCTTGCCTAGCTACAGTCACCTCACCTTCCATGACTAGATCTCTCCTCAGACTCCCCATGGTTCCTTTTAGCTAAACCCAGGAGCCCCTCAGGTTTGCCCCGTGCCATATATGAGGAGGGGAGGGGCTAAGGAGCCTCACTGCCCACAGCTTTGTGCCCAGACGCTCCGTCTCCTCCTCCCACTTCCTGTTCTCTGGAGAGGAGGAAGGAAGAAGAGTTGGTGGACAGAGAGTTGAGCTGCAGGTGGAGCTGAGCCACCCTGGGCCCCCATAGTACAGGCTGGACTATGGTCATCCTTCAAGGCTTGACCAGCCCTGTCCTCTCTGATGTGTGCAAGTGAAATCCTGGCAATCACACACTTACTCTACACACATCGGTTACTCTCAACGGTGCCCTCACAAGGCAGAGCAAAGCCTCCCCGGACCCGGCTGAGTCTCTTTCCTTCTCTCTGTCTCCACCTCCGACCAGCCCCAAGAAGCCTCAGAAGCCCCCGCCACTGCACAGCCCCCAGGCACAGGGACAAGAAGGGTCTAGAGATACCAGAGCACTGCCATCTTGTTGCCCACCTATTGTCTCTCACTGTCCACACCTGCTCTAAGGGTCATGCTTTTGCTCCTTTCAAACTACATTTGGGCATTAAATGCAGAGGGAGCCATCCTTTCCACCCCGCCCTACCCCTAACATCCTAAGGCTCTGAGAGCAGGCCACAAGTTCATGCTGTGGCCTTGTCTCAGAAGGAGCCTTGGATCCTGTGTGGCCCCAGGGTCTGCACACAGCTGTTGAAGAGATGCCCAGATGTGACGGTGGTCAGGCCTACTATTACACATGGTTCCTAACCAGGTCATTCTCCACTCCAGCTATAACGAATTCTACTTCCTCACCCACCCTGCCCTGTTCATCGAGGACCACTTCCCAGACAACAAAAACTGGCAACTGTTGAAGCCGCCTCAGTCTCTGAGGCAGTTTGAGAACAACATGTACCACAAGAGTGAATTCTACAACAAGGGCATGCTGAGTGCCCACCCAGAGACGTCCATGATCCGAACAGGTAAGGAGACGGAAGTGCACAGCCAGGGTACCAGTAGTGACCAAAGCCACTCCCACTAGAGGCAACCAAGAAAAACAGGCCACCAAGCTTAGCATCTCCAGTCACTGGCCAGAATGGACGCTTGTCATCCCCTGACACCCCACGGGGACCATAGCAGGTGGATGTTTGCACATTCTGAAAAGCAAGACCTGATCCCGGAACCACAGTCATGGATCTCAAAGGGCTCTCCCTATATGCCTGTTTCCCATGACTCTTTGAGAGTCCAGAGCCTGGTTCTGGGATTGACACACAGTAGAACTCAGAAAGGCTGGTCAGCCCACTTCCCCCTTCTCATCGGAGCCCTGCCCTACCTGTCAGCACCAGCTCTGCCACCAGGGGCCCTCCATGCATCCCAGACATGAGTCCTAGAGGCAACCAACTAGGGTGGCCTGAGGGGTGATGGCACTGACCCCACCCTACACTTCCAGGTGATGGAGTAAGGGCATAGGGCAAAGGGTGCAGCCGGGGAGCAGGCACCTCTTGCCCTATGTGCTTCCCTTTGGATTTCTTGACCTGGATTCAGAGCTCCTGAAGCCTCCGGCAAGTAACAGACATGTGGCAGCTCCAGCTACTGGAACAACAGCAAACAGCTACTCATTTCCTGTACCTGAGGCTGCTAGAGGTCTGTGGTCTCTATTGTGAGGCATTAAACCACAAGAAAGACTCAAGCAGACCACAACACAATCGTAGTCATGTCGCTGAGCTGAGTTTGCCTTTTTGGGAGGCAGAAAAATGTAAACACCAGATTTCTTAATTTATAGTAGTCTAAAACGCAGTTCCATATTCATGGTACATACGGAAAGAATATTTCTTGGTGGTTGTGAGTTGCCTTAAGAATAGAGACGGCAGAGAAGCAGGAGAGGGAAGCTGGGGTGGAAAGCAACAAGGAAGGGAAGGATGAGAGCCTGGGGGGGGAGGGATCAGTGGGTGCAGGAGGCAGGGAGGAGGCAGGGCAGATAGACAGGTGCCAGGCATGGTTCCTCCAGAAGGCCTTTGGGGTCCCCAGTACTTCACCTCCTCTGAGATGCTCAGACACTTCTGCCAAGGCCTCTCTAGAATAGTCACCAGGCTCTCCCCAAAGAGCCCGCAGCCTAGGCAAAGGCAGGGGATGGAAAAGTGCTTCCATGATTCTTTCTGAAAATGGTGGGTTCTCTGAAAGGGTCCCCCGGTCCCCTCCAGCATGTCCAGCTCACCTGAGGACTGGAGCAGGCTCTCTTTGGCCTGGTCTTTAGGGTGAGCCCTTGCCAAGTGTGGAGTGGAGGATTAATAGTGAACTTGAACCACACAGCCTTCTCTTTTGCCAGCCTCCATCCATGAACAGGGCTGGAGAAGTTGCTGGGTTAAGGGATGGGGTGGCCAGCTTCTACCAGAAGGCAGGGCCAGGCTCTCAGGGCAGCCACTTTCCTGGGGAGCCAGGGGAGCCCAGATAGAAAAAAAAGCCCTCATGAACTGCAAAAGCCAGGAGAAAAATCAATGACCCAGACAAAGGAATACAAACGTGCAGGTCAAGGTAGAGCTGGAGTGAGAGCGGCTGGATAGATGCACCGTGCCAAAGCCCATTCCACAAACACAGCTAGGGCAACTGCACCCCTGTGTGAGAAGCAGGTGTGGGGGAGGGGAGGACGGGAAATACCCTATTAACACTCCCGGACACCACTCTCCAGAGGGAAGCCCTTCCAGCTGGTTAAGGTAATGCGTTCATGTGACAGCTGTTGACACTGTAAAGATCACTACCTGTGAGTGATACAAAAGCAATGCTTAAGAGTTGCAGGGCTGGAGAGACAGCTCGGTGTTTAAGAGAGCTTGGTGCTCTTCCAGAGGACCTGAGTTCTGTCCCCAGCACCCACATCCTCTAGTCGGCTCACAGTCTGTCACTTGTAACCCTAGCTGCAAGAGGCTCCAGTGTCATCTTCTGGCTCTCACAGGCACCCACAAACATGCAGCATGCAGGCAAAGACATGCAAATATGCACATAAAAAGTAAGTCTTTAAAAGGAGAGATAGTTGTAGGAGATGGCACCCTTTCTGACCTTTGAGCCCTTTCCCTGCTCTGGAATCTGGTAAAATACCCAGACAGGTTTTGCCTGATATAAATCAAATGGGATAATAAAAGAAAGGGACACACATGGTTGGAGCAGGGTTTTTCTTGGGCCCCTTCCCCCTCCCAGTTATCATCCATTTCAAAAACATTCACCTAGATGAAGCAGAAGAATACCCATATTCAGTGACATCACATTGGTAAACTCAAGACTGGTAGACACATTTTACACCACAGATGTGGACACACACTGTAAGTGACATCTTCCCCTGAGAGCTAGTTGATATGCATTCACCAGCACACACTGGACCCATGTCATCTGACCCAGACTTCCTCTCCACAGTGAATGGGAAAGCCACGGTCACCATCGAGAGCTGCGCCCCAACACTGTTCATGTTCATGCTCAATGGCAAGCAGGAGCATGGGCTACTGAGCCTCAGGAAGAACGGGATGAAGCTGGAGGTGTACCCTCCAACCATGGGTACCCACAAGCTGCAGATCTTTGCCAAAGGCAACTCTGAAATCTATAGCTCAGTGCTTGAGTACACACTCAAGTGCAACTTCGTGGACCACTCTGTCCGGCTGCCCGCTGAGCTTCACCAGCCGGTGGGCCCCAGCTGGTTCTCGGAGCAGATGGGCATCACGAAGCCCTCCCACCCTGACCCCATCATCCACACCACTGACGGTCGCTGTTCCATCAGCTTTAGTGTGGAGGAGGGCATCAGTGTCCTGGCATCCCTCCATGGAGACGATGGCCCCATCACTGAGGAGACGCAACTGCGCTACATCTTCCAGCTGAACAGAGAGAAGAGGACAGAGCTGAAAGTCCAGCTGCCCCACGCGGGCAAGTTTGCCCTTAAAATCTTCGTGAAGAAGAGGCAAGAACAAGGCAACTTCGTCTTTGTCTTCAACTACCTCCTGTGCTGCTCAAACACCAAGGTGAACTGGCCTATGTTCCCCGAGAGCTTCGGCAACTGGGGGCAGGGCAATGAGCTGCTGGAGCCCCTCTCGGGTGTGCTCCCTGCCAACCGCAACATACCCTTCAAACTGAAGCTGCATGGCATCGCCAAAGCCCTGGTGAAAGGGCAGGATACATGGCCCCTGACCCTTAACCCCGAGGGATACTGGGAGGGTAACTGCAACACGGCTGGCTGCCAAGAAATCTACGTCATGGTGCTAGAGAATGCTAACCACAACTTCTACTCTTACATCCTGAAATACAAAGTCAATGACCAGTGAGGGGCTGCAAACCCACAGCCTCCCAGGGCTAAGGCCAGCCCCACCCAGGGAGGGCCCAAGCCAAGTGCAGAGAGCCTGGGACACCACTAACGTGCATGAAATCACTTCTAGGCCTCTGCCTCTGGCTCCCTGCTCTGCCACAGGCATTGAGGAATTTGTATTGCTGAGGGCTTCACTCAGTGTGGTTGTGGATGAAGGGACAGAGGCAAAGGCCCTTTAGAAGGAAAAGGTGCTATGTAAACCCGAGGTCTTGTGAAGTGTACGCCCACACCTGTGCCTGCTCTTGTGTTAGTGCCGTGTTGTAGAATTGGGTGGGGAAGCAGAGATGTTGCCCATGCTCAAAGCTTTCCACATGATGCCTGGAGAATGATGCTTGAGGCTGAATCCATCAGAGAGACCAGTCACCCAAGGAATACACTGTTCCTCCACTCCTGGACCCCGGGGAGAGCTGGGCCTGCTCATTTTCCGTATCCCTAGTGCTTCTTCCGTAGCCACTTCATGCTCTTCAAGAGTGTTCGAAAAGGGAGACATGGAAAAGAAGCCAGCTGACCATCAGCCAACTACAGGCTGTTCTCTCCCAATCCCTGTGAGTCTCCAGAATGTGACAAGGGCAGAAAACAGCCACGTGTACATGGGATGTCCTGGGTGGGGAAAGGGGATGGAGTGGTGTCTTTAGAAATCTGAACACCCACAGTTAAGGGTGAAGATCCCTGTGTACCTACCAGAGTTCAGCCCAGGGCCTGAGGATGCTCTCCCAGTAAGAGCCCAGGCCCCTCACCAGTTTTTCACAGGAGCCTCAAATGCCTACAGAACCAGTCAGGAGCCTGGCTGATGACCATGAATGGAGACTTAAGTCCTGGGCAGACAGATGAGTCCCAGAGCAGAACCAGGGACAGTTTATGATAATGGAATCCTGTTGTTTCCAGGACCTTACAAGCAAAAACAGCTGATGGGATCAGCACCACTTGCCCCTGGAGGGAATGCTTGTGCCTGTCTCTGGGAAGAAGCCCTAGCATGACCGTTTTCCCTCCTGTCTTTCTCTAAGATGACAACTCCTGCCCTGAGTTCAACCTTCTGTTGGGAACAGTTGAGGGCCTCTTGCTTGCTCGGGCCTGTCCTAAAAAGCCTCAGCAGCCTAGCTGGCCATCAGTAGCACCTGAGGCTGGTGTTTCCATGGCAACGGCTGAGGGAAAGGCAGGCTGCAGCTAGCAGGAAGGCCTGAGAGAGGCCCCTAGAGAACACTAAGATACTGCCCCAGTGCACAGATACACTCACTCCAGCATGGTCCTCACCAAACTTCTGGGTTCTAGCAGTCGGTTTGCTCTGCCTAGCCCAGAGCCCCTGTCCCTCACTTCTGAGAGCCACTCTACATGTCGTCAGGCTCAGATGCAGCCAGAGCCAGCCCGGGATACTCATAACTCTGCATAGCCTTGTGTTAGATTCTGGGATTGTAGGGCTTAACATGAAGGACTCAACCATAGCCATCCAGACCTCTGGGTGGGTGGTCTGCCGGGTGGGGCCTACCTGAAAATCCAGAATCCCAGAACGTCAGTCCTTCATCCCTTTCAGTCCCCTCACCATGCACCTGGCACCAGGCTGGGTAGCCTCACTTGTGACTAGCCTGGCTGCTTGGGGGCTGAGCCACCTTGGCTTGTGTCCCGGGTCCTCTTTACCTGTCAGCACCTTGTCGTTCACTCCTGGAAAACGCACAAAAGCCAGGGAGGCATCACCACTACACCCCACTACAAGGTGCAGTGCAAACGGTGGAGTTTGCACAGCATGAAAACAGCCTTTCCTCGCCTTTTATTCTGTGAGCAGAAAGAAGTGTGCTGTGTTTTAACAAAATAAAATAAATGCTCCCGCGATTCCTGACACAAACTAGACACAGCCCTCACTGCCGCTGCTGGTCCTGCAGAAGACAATACCCATGTTTTTAAAACAGTATAATTAATTCACCCGGGAGCTTGTAGAGGATGCTACCCCCCACACACACTACACACACACACACACACACACACACACACACACACACACACACAACAGGAGCTGTCCTCAGCACTAGAGACCCAGGCCGGCCTCTCCCAGCCTGAGTGAGTCATCCACACGCCCCTCCCTCCTCATTTAACCAGGCAGCCCCTTTGTCAAGGCAGCTGTAGGAGCACTCAGAAAAACGCCTGCATTTCTTTCCACTGAAGTAAAGATACATGAAACTAAATCCAATCCTCATGAATTTTTACACGCATGCTGCTCAGGTTGGAAATTTGGAGGTTGCGTTTTTGAAGGTTTTTTATTCAAATCCCCCTCTTTGTCTCCCGGTCCACGAGTCCCGGTGGCCGATCGAATGGCACGGGCGCCCCCTGGTGGTCTATGTGAGAAGTTGCCGCCGCTGCAAACACCCAACTGGATCCATGATTGTGTAAAATCACTAGGTGCTTCCTTGGCCCTCTTGGATATGCCGAGGTCAGCGTTGCCATGCAGACTGTGAGAACAGCCTGGAGAGACTTCCTGGCTGGCGTGGTGAGAAAACACAGAATGTGATAAGAATTAAGAGTGTTTTGCCAAGAAATCTTTTCCTGAGACAGAAACCCTGGACACAAGCCTGCCTGGCTGAGGTCGCTTTTATCACATTCATTGCTGTACCAATGACAGGCTGAAACTGATCAAACCCAGCATTTTGCCAGGCAAACCCCAGGATGGGTGCCAGGGTGCAGAAGGACGGGGCGTGGTGGGGCAAAGGGGTGCAATTAACCTCTTTTCAGATTGCTTCAGAAGTGCCACCGGCTCAGCTGGACTGCTGCTCTCCGTCTGATTGTGAATATTTTGAGTTCTCCATATGTTTCATTGTCCCACCAGGATGGACTTCTCAAGGCCCGCTGAGATTAAAGAGACTGTAAATAGATTAACTGAAGCATGAAGGATTTGAGCTAGATATAAAGAGCCATTTCCTGTTGTGAAGCAGGAGGGACACATTGCCAATAAAGTCTGCAAAATTCTCAAAGGACTTGAAAAGGAGAAAAGTTTCCCCAGTGTTCTGGAGTTTTCGTTCCCATGCTTGCTGAAGTGGTTGGGCTGTCTCTCCACTGATTCTTGAATCACACTGGTTGGCCCACACTAAATGTGGGGTTAATGGTGTGACCACATGGCTGCGATTATCAGATTTCTTTATCTGAGGGCTGTCACTTCTTTTCATTTAGATCTAAAGCTGCAGAGGTGACTGTATCTTCTAACGTGTGCGTGGAATTGTGTGGGTCGCTGGCTGTTGAAGATGCTCTCCTCACATTGTTGCTGGGGTTGTTTTTCAATAAAATTTATATTCATTTTTATCCAACAATGTAATTATCGATCCATCCTTATCGCTGCTCTCACAAGGAGGAAAGAAAAAAAACAAGAAAAAACACTTTCATGTTCAAAGGATGCTTTTAAAAAAGAAATCAATGTCCCTGCCATTTGAATGCGATGGCGAGATGCAAATGGGATGTTGGGCAAATAGCTACTCCACATTAAAGAAAACATAATTAGGTCAGCCCCAGCCCTCTGTGGCTCATGTGCCTTTGAAGAATCTAAAGCTGTGTTTCTTTCATTGAATCTTGTTTAACTTGAACATCTTAAAGTCAGTCCACATTTCTTTTTATAGTGGGAGAAGAAAAATGTGCCAAAAATTTGCCTGTCAACCTACTTTTTGGCTCTTGAATATATAATGTATTTCTTGATATTCATATACATCCAAGAAACTTTCCAGGTTGCCTAAACTGATTACTCATAAATTAGACATTTAGGGGACTAAAAGAAAAAAAAATGAAAATCCAGACACCTCTGAGAAACTGCTGTAACCATGGAAACCATTCTCATAGCTGTAGTGTGAAGGACAAAAAGATTTGTGTTCCCAAATCTGGGCTTATCGCATCCCTCATTGCTAGACACAAAAAAAATGAAATACTTGGTCCTTGTGGTGGGGGTTCACAGTGGACTGTGGTCCGTGGGCATGACAACTCTTTAATGATATGCGAAGGAAAAGTCAGAACAAATAGTCTTCAGGTCTTCCAGTCAGTAGGACTAACTCTTGAATTATTGGAACAGGTTAGAAGTTTCCACCCAGGGGCTGGAAGACATTGACCTCCAGTGTTCCTCCCAGCCCAGAGATTTTTCGAAGCTGTGTCTCAGGGAACAGACGATGATGGCAGGAACCAGACTGGATTGGCAGTTAAACAATAACTGAAGGACCCTGCTGTGTTAAGAGCAGCCCCCCCTAAGCCCTTAGCACACTGCATTGCAGGCCTTTCTCTTTCCTGAGGGCAAGGGGATGCACAGAGCCTAGCAGATGGACCACAGGAAAACAGCAGCCCGACAGATGTCGGTTCTCTATGATTTGCAAACAAAACTAAAGATGACTAAGAGCCCCCTGGGACAGTCCTCCCTTGGACATGTCCCTAGATGCCTCCTTCCTTTCACCTTGTTCTCAGACCTCAGTTCAGAAAAAAAAAAAAAAAGTATTCCTAAACCACCAAAATTCCCAAGGAAGATGCATAGAGATGTCCCATGACTCCTTCATCCTCTAGGATAAGATCTGGTCCATCTAGAGGCTTCTCGGGTCTTATCTCATCTACCTTTGTATCCACTGAGAGTGTTCAGGCCCCCACACTCCCTCGGCACCACTGTTTGATCCTCTGTGGGCCAAGATGAGCCCTGCTGATGCTGTTACTGTCTACACCAACCTGGAATCTGAACCCTGACCCCACTGAGCCGTGTTAAGTGGTTTTCGTGAGAACCTTCCCAAAGAAGCTCACTGTCTCTGGAGAAGGCATTTGGTGGGCAAGGCAAGTTTTCAAACAAAAATTGGTCTTAAGTCTGAAATCCTACCGCCTGGAACATACTTGATCCCACTTGATCTCACAAGCTGTGCTGAGCCAGACCTGGTTAATACTTGGATGGGAAACAAAGGCTGATTTTAATAAGAGAATCAAGAGAGTGCCCAGTCACCTCTTTCCCCTCCAGAGACAGCGTGCCAAAAGCTTCATTCCCAGGACAGGGTAGAGACAGTTCTCACCATAGTCAGAGAGAGGGGCTGACGAGGGTCCACAGAGGGAAATCTCCCCACGGCTGAAGCAGCAGTGAGCAGTAGCTGTAGATCAGGCCACACAGCAGTGGCTCACAGGCTGCCTCCCTGTGGTCCTCCTGGACCAGCAACAATACTGATCACATATTTAGGAGAACCAGTCAGAGTCGGCACTGAATGCTAAGAATACAGT